TAAGGGGGTCGGTGTTTCCCGTCTTCCCCTAATGTGTGCTATAGCGCGTCGTCCGATGCAAAGTTGTGATGAATCATGCATTCTACCCATAAACTTGTCGTGTTCGGCTCAGTTTCTTAAAGTTGAAAAACTTGTTATTGTTTTCGATTTATCCGGAGCTATTCGTAAGCAATTATATGGAACTGGGTTTGAATGTATCATCTGTGGCTAAATGTAGGACATGTATGTAAGTCGTTTCGCGTACTTTCATGTTTTATGGTCGATTCGGATTCGATACTTTCGACTGGTGAAAATCTGCTTCAATGCTAGGGGAAGTTGGGGGAACGCCGAATACTTTTTTTCTGACGCCCGTAGCACGCAAGGTAGACAACATAAGCTATTCTTGTTGGCGTCATTCGAGAGGCCAGTCTTTTGCCTTTCAAACATACCAGGCGCATTTGATGAATTCGCATACCGTTAAGCGCACAAACTAAAAATATCAAAGAAGTGACTTTTTCGGCGTTGCCCCGGACTGCGGGGAAAGCCGAAAATGGGAGAAATGATCTACGGGGAATGCCGACATTGATGTTTTGCCACTTAATCTCAAACTTTATCCAGAATTTATCAAAGCTGACACGCGTTTTAAGAGCTTGAGGACGCTTGGTGCACACTGGAAGTTATAATTGTGTGATAAAATAAGAAAATGCCAGGTAAGTAATTCCTTATAGGTAACAGGCCGTTGTGTCGGTTGAAAGTGTAATTTGTGTGACTAAAATTTCGCGTTGCTATTCTACAGCAGTAAAGTCCACGTAGCGTGCTTTAACGTGCGTAATTGCACGTTTTCGGCATTACCCCAGCCAGCCATACTTTCATTTGCAGGCCCATAACTTTTCAACGTGCCGTATAAATTTCAAATAGGCAGCACACTTATGCAAAGACATGCTGAAGATTACTTGACCGAATTGGCCAGACAAACGGTAGCATAATGAGTAAGAAATGCAGCTTCAAAGGCGCATGTAGTACAAGGAACGCGTATCTTGAAAACGCTCTTGGCGCCCTCACAGCCGAAGTATTCCAAATGACGACTCGTAACAAACATGCGATAATTGTAGTCACTTAAGCTTCAGAGCATCACTGACAGGTGGCATCCATGTCTTACGGTTTTCGAAATATCTCGAATTTCGGCTTTGCCCCAACTCCGGCATTGCCCCCACTTCCCCTATTGTTGTAAGCACCCGTTGTATGACATTTTCTAGCCTAGACGAATGAATTAAGGGTGCGTTAACTTCGGAGGTGGCTCCGCTCAGCGTTGGTGTCCGAGCACTACTACTCCGATTCTCAGCCAGTAGATGTCACCAGGGTAGAGCGCTTTTTTCCCACGTTAATGGCCTTCTCCCCCTCCTCATTTCACGGCCCTTACGATAACGACGTTTGGTTACTGCGCCGGCGCGGCGGGCGGCGCCGACTGAGGGAGATCATGGTGTGTAAACACCGCGCGGACGGAACACGTCTCTGAGGTCTCTCGACGAGCCTTCCCGGCGCCGTCCTTAGCCTGGTGTAGGTACTTACTTACCCAGTTAGAACGAAACTGATTAATTGATATAGATACATGTTATCGAATATTGAGTCTGTCGCAGCTCTAGTCACAAGAATGCGTCTGATATTCTCACATGATTGACCTGACGGCATTGTTATAGTGAAATGCAGTGCTAGATTCGCATTGCTACACGAAATTTCAACGAAATTTAAACGGATACAGGACCCAGGCGCCAACGCTTAAAATAAAGGCATAACATGTCATGTTAAATGAGGCTGGTTAACCCTCGATCGGCGAAAGAAGGGGTTGATACAATCCCCGAAGTTTTTCGCAGATAGCAGCCGTTTTCACGACGGCTATCTGGTACTCACACATTTGCTGCATGTGTCATAGGAGCCAATCACCAGAGATGGTCATACCAACCCCCTCGCCGTCCGCGTTATGAAAAAGGCTCTCGCCTAGTGACGGTTAAGTTGAGCCGGCCATCACATCGACGCGATCACTGCGCGCTGGTGCAGGTTCCCCTTATGCATGCTTTCAGTCCGCATCGGCGCATACAGGGCCTTGCATCGGCCTAAGCGCGAAATTGACCGTTTCGTGCAGCATCTATTTTGCTGTGTTCGTTGCACTCACGCCAAAGTGCCAGCTACGGTAGACAATTATACTCGCATACGGTTTGAATGTCTTTGCACGGGAAGTCCACTCATCAAACAAAAGTACTTTAGAATGTATGTTGCTAGCCATTTGCTATAGATTTTCGGTTAGGCACAAAAGTTCCCGAGGTAAATTGGAGGATTAATAGCCAAGCTGCCGCGGTGGCACCTGCCAATAAGCCAGAAACAGAATGTTTGCTGATTGTTGTTAATAACTTGTTCATTGTCGCCTAGAAGTGCATTGCATTACCCATGCATATGTCATTGCAACAACACCCTAGTGTAAGTTAATGTGTTCATACTGAGAACGTCGCACTTATACCCAATAGTTCTGACCAGCTGGGATGACCATGGGCTGAAAACGAAGACTAAAAAGACAAAACAGGGGATGCAAAGGTGAAAGGAGACTAAAAGCTCGCCTTTTCTGAGCGACCACAAAGTTCTTCCGATAAAAAGCTGGCACACCGTAAATAGTCGATTTAGAAAACAAAAGGCATGGAAGGTGAAAGATCGTAGTTTTGGAAGAATGAGAAAACCTTCTCTCCTGCCCTCCGAAAGGCGAAAAGGTCAGCCACCGTAGAGGCATATGATCATCACATCGTTAACAACTACGAGGGGCGTTCAAAAAGTTCTCGGCCCAACCATGAAGGAGTTGGAATTTCGGCCTGCAACGCGGTGTGTTCAATGATGTGTTATTGCGATGTCCACTTACGTAGCCATTAACCAATCTGCCCTGTGATTGGTTCAGGCTGCTAATTAATCGTAACATAGTTTGCCATTCCCGGTCAGAATGGGCGACGCCCAGAAGGGAGCAGTGATTTAGTTCATGTATTGCAGAAAAATGCACCAAACGTTATTCACGAAAAGCCAGTGCCAACCCATGTTGAGGTTTGTGTTTCTTACAGTAGCGTCAAAAAGCGGACATCTCTGTTCAATTTTGGTCAACAGATCATTAAAGGTCACCCCCGCAGTGGCCAGCCATCAACAGCATTGACTCAAGAAAATATGAAAAATTAGCACTTCTTTGTGAAAACGACAAATGTTCTGGTCTGGAACAACGCAGCAGAAGCGGAGGTGTCTATCAGGTTCCTCAAAGCCATTCTTCGACAGCGTATTAATATGTTTAAGATCTCTGCAAGATGCATCCCCCGTTTGCTGACTCCAAAGGAAAGGCAAACTCGAAAGGAGGCGTAACGCGAAAATTTTGGCCCCTATATCGAAGATCCAAAAGAGTTCATTGAACTACTTGTTACCGTGGAGGGATTGTGGGTGTCACACGTTGATCCTAAGGGCGTGGCCGAGTTGCACAACTGGAAGCACACTGAGTAAAGGCCACCAAATGTGTGCGACGTGTTTAAGTCAGACGGCAAGGTGACAGTGGTTGCATTTTGGGATGCTGGCGGGGCTCTGCTCGTCAACTTTCTAAAACAGAGGCGCACAATTAATGATGAATACTACACCTCCCTTCGATAACAGTAGCGAGCAGCAGATATCAAGGAGAGACTAGGGAAGCTGACTAAAAGTGTGCTTCTGATCCAGGACGACGCACCAGCACACATGAGCAGGGTGACGATCAGCGAAGCAGTGAGCTGTGGCTTCGAGTTGTTGTCACAGCCACTTTTTTCTCCGTGCCTTGCACCATCAGGTTGCCACCTCTTCCCCAACATAAGGAAATTGCTTAGCTGTGGCAACTTCGCTGACAGCAAGGAGACAAAAGCAGCCGTCTTGGACGTGCCAGATGCGTCTGAAACCCACTTGGCTATGGAGACCCAGGGGCCTCTCGCGAAGCGCTGCGCGAAATGTTTTTGTCTTAACGCTGGTTATTTGAATAAATGAACATTTTTGGTCTAATAAGTCGACGTCGTATCTCTTCTCCTTCATGGTCGGGCCGAGAACTTTTTGAACGCCCCTCGTAGGATAGTGGTTACATTTCCATAAGTCTGCATTCGTCGACCTACTTCATTAGAATTATAATCAGTCAAAAAGGTGAGTGAACAATGAACATCATGAGAGAGAGAGAGAGAGAGAGAGAGAGAGAGATAGAGAGAGAGAGAGAGAGAGAGAGAGAGAGAGAAAGAGAGAGAGAGGGAGAGAGAGAAAGAGAGAGAGGAGAGAGAAAGAGAGGAGAGAGAGAGAGAGAGAGAGAGAGAGAGAGAGAGAGAGAGAGAGAGAGAGAGAGAGAGAGAGAGAGAGAGAGAGAGAGAGAGAGAGAGAGAGAGAGAGAGAGAGAGAGAGAGAGAGAGAGAGAGAGAGAGAGAGAGAGAGAGAGAGAGAGAGAGAGAGAGGAAACAAATTGCGTCTGGTCATATCATCAACTATAGTTATACTAGCCGTTTTCACAACGGCCATCTGGTACACATTTGGTGCAGATTAGGTGAATATTTGGCATAGATTTGGTCAAATTAGATTCATGGTGTTTCTTAAAAGTTGTTAGTTTATGTTGCGCAGATGCTTAAAGACCTCATTTTTCAAATTATAATCAGAGATTATTTTCGATGAACACGCTGAAATAAATTGTTGATACCTATGAAACCATTTGTTGTTAAAGAAATTTAATGCAGATTTGGTCAAATTTAGGTGCATTCGCCAGATAGCCAGTCGTAAAAACGGCTGAAGATAACACCGACCAGAAGAAATCAGCTGCGGCACCTGTCCTGAGGAAACTCAGCAGCTTTTCATTGATCAGTGTCAGTATACCATTAGACAGTGGACACTCAGGGGGTCCATTAGTGTTGGTGTGAGGCGCGGCGCGGCCCCGGCCGGCTGCGCTGCGCGCCGGCCGGGCGGCGTCGGTCGGCCCGCCGCGGTGCCGCAGTGGCCGCCCGGCCGCGGCTCCGCTCGGTCCACCCATGTTCGCCTACCTGGTCCTGCTGTTCCTGGTGGTGTTTGTGACCACGTTCCTGTGGCGTGCCGCTCTATACACGGAGCAGCTCCGCTTCTAGGCGGCACCATGGCCACCTCGGCCGGGTTCGTGAGCACGGTGCTCAGCACGGTATGCCTGCAGGCGCTGAGGCCCACCCTGCCGCCCGTGCCGCCTCTCACCGCGCCGCAGCAGCAGAATGGTGAGTCTCGGGACACTGCAGCAGCGACACAGCGCACAGGCCTGCAATACATATTAACTAGAGCGGTGAGTCCGGTCAGCAGTTGTGACAGCACGATCCAGGCACGAGCACAGACCGGCAGCGGTAGAACGATGCATACTGCCTTGGACCTGTAGCAGAAGTACCTTGTGTCATAACCCGCGCGGGGCTGGGGTCTCCAGCCGAACGCGCGGGGCTGGGGGGGGGGGTAAATTTTACCCCCCCCCCCCTGTTATCTCCCGAACTAATGGTCCGATTTGGAAAATTCAAACGGCAATCGAAAGATCTCATCACGAACAACTAAAAACATGTACTTAATTTTATGTTTGAGGTCAAGGTCAAGGTCAGGTCAAGGGTACAAATTGCAAGTTCCTACAGTATCTGCCTTGCACCGTAGTTGCCGAAGAATGGAGTCATGCACTGAGACTGATCGCCCAAAACGTGTTCTTAGGCTACCAAGACAATATTCGTTGCATAAAATATCATTCAGAGGTCAAGGTCAAGGTCAGGTCAGGTCAGGTCAGGTCACCAAAAACAAAATCTAGAAAAGGGCATGTGCGACACATGTTTTATGGGTCATTTTACTCATAGAATTCAATAGGCACACTCAATAAGTGATATGGACCACCTCTGGATGAATTTCAGGCCGAGGTCAGGTCAAGGTCAGGTCAAGTGAGGTCAAATTTTGAAGTTGGTTGTTAAGGCCTAAAAAGGTGTCTATCTGATGCAGTTTTTCACGGCAAATCGAATGGTGCTATTTTTGTTTCCGTACGAGGTCTAGAACTTCCAAAAAAGTCATTTTTCAAAAATTTTGTGTGTCGTGACGTCATACAATTTTGAATAACTCCCACATTTTTGAACCGATTCTTCTAAAACTTGGTATGTAGGTGCACATAGACCACTTCTCTGACATATATTCCGGTTTTTTTGATACACTCAAAATTTTTGATTTTATAGTTATTTTCCCAAAAAAGTCAGTTTTTTGAAAAAATTTGGGCCAAAATCCAAAATTTTCAAAAAACCGAGATTGCCATTTGATAGACAAAGTCGAATTACGTATATCCTTTTTTGTTACGTCTCGATTCCTTTAACCCTATTCCTGGCGGGCTCCGCCGGGACAAGAAACTGGCGGGGGGGGCCGATTCGGCCCCCCCCTGAGATCTCGAGAACGAAGCAAGATAGCGACAAGCGGTAAACGGCATCGGATACGCACGGCCAAGATCTACAATTTTTACAAAGGTCATTTTCAGGTCAGGTCAAAGATGACGTCACAGGGGTCGAAAAAGTCAAAATGGCGGCACTAGATATGGAGAGTTTTTCTCGAATAACTTTCGAATTAGTCAAGATAGGAACAAACTAAGGGCATCATCGTGATCCTCTCGTCAATCCGCATCGAATGATATATATGTTGACCTCGAAAGGTCAAGGTCAAAGGTTGACCTCAGGTCACGTGACCTCGAGGTCATCATGTATATCATTCGATGCGTCTTGACGAGCTGAACACAATGAGACCATCCACGCGTCTGTATCTTGTTCCTGTACGGAGTTATTGGCCAAAAACCTTTGGTGACCTTTGATGACGTCACATGACCTCACAGCTGCCCAACAGCAAAACAGACCTCAAGGTAGTGAAGGTTGATCGTATATGAAGTCATGTATGGTATATGGGGCCATTCCGACCCGTTTTAGTGGTAAAAACAGGGAGTTGATTTTTCCCCCATTGACTTATAATGGTGAGGTCGCGAAATTGACCTGACCTTAGGTCACCGATATCAAAATTCCGAGATATACAAATTGCACATACTGGTACCCTAACTAAACCCTGAAGAGAAGAAATTGATCGGTCAAAAACTCTAGCTCTGGCGTGATTGCAAACTTTTCTGAGGTAGCGTCACCAAACCGCCTCTGGTGACCTGACCTGAGGTCAGATCAACTCAAAATTTTCAGACATGTTGCGTAGAAGCCTTTTAGGAAAAGTCAGAAAATTTGAGCTTCCTAGCTCAACGCGTTTGGGAGATATAACCAAAAAACCTCAGGGGGGGGGGGCTCCTGAGGCCCCCCCCCCCCGCCAGGAATAGGGTTAACAATGAAGATGTTAGCGGCGTTTGAACTTTTGCCGTTTTTGAGGCGAAAATGGCGAACATGACGTCACTAAAACGTCAATTTCTCAAAAATTTTCCGACGGATTTCGCTCAGATTTTTAGGGAACGTGTCAAATTGATGTAAGAAAAGGTACTGAAAGTTTGGCGGCGCTGCGCGCCGCCGTTTTTGAGATATTGCAAATATTCGCGAGGGGGGGGGGGGGTAAAATTTACCCCCCCCCCAGCCCCGCGCGGGATAATTCACAGCCACACTCGTATAACCTTCTTCGGTAAATTTTAGCCAGATATCTCAACAAATGGCAGATTCTCTTTTACAATTGGTGAATTCACGGATACACCATAGGCCCTACACCCTACATAGGCCATACACCCTACCTAGCTTTTAATTTGAATACATTTTCTTCTGCGCGTTTCGGATGTTGCAACAACAAAAAAATGTGTGAACCATTGTTTTTTTTAGCGTTAGCTGCTCCCTTTAGATATGCTTTCGTCATTTTCCAAATAAAAAATTAGAATTTTGGACTTAACACTGGTGCGACCTTTACGTGGCCTGTTAGAACTAATTCGAACAGCGTATTGTTACGACGCTATAGCTAGATTTAATGATCGAAAATGACCGAAAAAGCATGCCCAATAAATTACAAATAATTCAACCCGCGCCCGGGTCGGCATCGCAGCCAACCTCGCTACGGTGTGTGTGTGGGGGGGGGGGGGGGTCGTATTTGGCCACATAGGTTATCTCGGAAAGTAAAAAAGCTAGAATGACGCGAAAAAAGAAATGGATAGCTCGCTGCAAGATCTTTGAGAGAATCATTGAGGTCATTTTCTAATGAGGTCATCCCTGAAATCACTGCACGGAGGTCACCAAAGGTAAAAAATATCATGATTTGTTTCCGATTTCGATATTTTTTACCAATCGGTGCATACCCCGGGAAACAAGCTCCGTGAAAAGAGCATTCGATAGGTCTTTCGAAGCGCCTCTGGGAGCAATAACTCTCAAAATTTGATGTTTTGTGAAACATTTTTTTCTGCAATAGGTACTCATAACTTTTGACACCATGCAAGCTAGGCGTTGATTCAAACGTAATCACGTTTCTCTCGTCGAGTCGCGTCGAATGAACAATAAGGTGACCTGAAAAGTCAACTTTAAATTTGATGTCAGGTCAAGGTCAAGTAAAAGGTCATGCTTTAATCTACATTAATGTATATTAATAGATTTGAACGCACCTACGGTGTTTTCATCGCTCTGGCGTGCTTCCATCCAAAGTTGTTGTAAAAAAAACTGTTTAAGACGTTTCATGACCTGAGATGACCTCAAGGGCATAACGGGGGTCACGGGTGCAACTTTTAGATTCAGGGTGTCCTTTTCACCTATATGCCAAGTATGACAGTGTTTTCGCCCAGAAGAAGAGCATCTGATTTTTTTCCGTTGCCCTTTAACCCGCGCCCGGCTGGGGGTCCTGGATTTCCACGCCCTGCGGGGGGGGTTTGAACACCCCCCCCCCTTCTAACTCGGCTCCTGGGCCACGTAGCGATACGTGGAAGGCGGCGTTCGAAAGAGCGTCAAAAATAATGAGGAAATCACTTCGGTCAATTTTTTTGGTCAGGTCAAAGGTCAGGTCACCAGAGGTCATTGAAGGCAAAATTTCGCCGATTTCCAGGTCGAATGACGACAATTTCCAAGAAGCCAACGCATAACTCGGGAACCAATAGAGCTACAGCGCCGCGGAAAAGCCGATAGCCCTATTAACGCCCTTTCTGAGTAATTTTCTCAGATTTGACCTAACGTCAACGGCTTTGCCGGCAGGGGGCAAAAACTGCAAAAATAGCCGATTTTTTTCGGAAACAGTTTTTCTGCAATACCTACGTTAGGCGGCACGGGCGGACATCGATAGCAGCGCCTCTATCGGTCACTAGGGAAAGCTGGGCTGTAGGCGACGAAATACCGGCTGAGTTGTCACACGTTGAATAGGTTTATAGACATCAGTCTTATGAAAAAGTTGAACTTTTGCCTTCAATATTTCTACAGGCAATTTTAGAAGTGTCTTCACATTGATTACAAAACCGTTTAGATTATTGTATTAACTTCAAGCCTTCCCTATTGTTCTTGATGATGCGGGAACTATTTTTAATGTTTTTCTAGCTTAGTAAAAGAACATATTGTGCAAACGATGATAAAAGCATAAATGGAAGATTTTAACACGCGCAGTGGAAGGGTTGCGAGTACTACGCCCAGTGGAAGGGGGGGGCGGATGTCGCCCCCCCTAAGATCTCAGCTCCCACTGGAGCTAGAAAGACGAAATTTGGAGGGTAGGTGGGGGCCATGGGGAACTCTGTTGTGTGTGAATTTCATGACCCTAGGTCAATATCTTCAAGGTCAAATGAGGTCAAATATGGTCAAATCTACCATATTAGATACTTTTTTGCGTTTACACGCCGATAACTCAAAAAGTTACCGGCCGATTTTCTTTTTTCTTTCACTTTACGAAAGAACAAACATTTGGGAGTATGTATGGTGAATTTCTAGATAATCCAACAATAAATATGGCAGTTAGAAGCCTGCTAAGGGTAAGATGTCGCCGGCTGAAGCGGCATCGGCCGACGCGGGAAACGCGGCAATCACAATTTTGTGTTTACACACTCATAACTCAAATTGTTACCGGCCGATTTTCAATTCTTTGACCATATGATTGCCTGTACATTTCTCAGTCTTCTCACCGAATTTGACGCGAATCTAATGTAATCAGCGGTAAGGAGCGCGATGTAAAGACGGAACCGTCCCGCCCCGGCACAGTCTACAATTCAGGCGGCGCGTAACGGCTAGCGCCGGCCGCCGCGCCGCCGCGCCGCCGCGCCGCCGCGGCGGCAGGATGTTTGACTTTACACCGCTATTACTAGAAAAGTTGTGAACCGATTTTCTTATTTCTTGCACGAGAAGATCCGCAATTCAATTTTGGACAGGTAGCCAAAATTTCACATTGATATTATGTTCGCGGCGCGAGTTAATGGCGAAAAACAGGAGGGGTGGGCGAAATCCGCCCCCCCCTTCCACTGCGCGTGTTAAACGCAATTTTCTCTAACAAGTAACAATTAATGGTAAATTCTCTAGGTACACATCAAGGAAAAGGTGCATGCTAACTGATAATTTAAAGTTCTTGGGGACAGTTGTTTTCTTCTTTTCTTACGTCGCCCCAATGGCCGCGAATACACTTGTGATAAGACCTATCAGACTTTTGACCCAAGCCTTGTACGAGCTTCCTGTTACCGGCATCGTGTTCCTCTCGTCAAGACGCATCGAATGAACTATAACTTGACCTTGAAAGATCAACTTGAAAAATTTGACCTCAGGTCAAGGTCATGACCTGACCGGAAAGGGTCATGTTGCATATCAGTCGATCCGTATCGTCGAGCTGAACACATCTAAGGCGTTTTCATCGCTCTAGCATGCCTCTATCAAAAGTTATTTGCGAAAAACTGTTAGATGCCATTCGTGACCTAAAATGACCTCAGGGCATAAACAGGGGTCACGGACACCATTTTCATGTTCAGTGTGTCTAAACCACTTGTAATTCAGTGTTTGGGAGTGTTTATAATGTCTTTCGTCCAAAAGAGGCGCATTTCAATTTTCTCCCATTGACTTATAATGGGGAGGTCGCAAAATTGACCTGACCTTAGGTCATCGATATCAAAATTCTGAGATATAAATTTTGTACATGCTATTGCTCTTAAAATCGCTGAAAGTTTCAAAGCGATCGGTCACTCGGTGTAGCTATGACAGACATTGAAACTTTTTATGAGGTGAGGTCACTTCAAGTGACCTGGTGATCTGACCTTGAATGACCTTAGTCTGAAATTTTCACAACATGTGTAGAATTGATGTATAATAAGGTGTACCAAAAACGGCTATTCGCGAAAAACCACAAGGGGGGTGTTCAAACACACCCCCCCCCAGCAGGGCGCGGGTTAATCAAGAGAAGGAATCGAATAATCAAAATTGACTTGACCTCAGGTCATTGATATCAAAATTCCGAGACATATTAATTGTCGGCACTGATTCCCTCATGCAATAGCCCGAGTATCAAACTTCTAAGATATAAATTGTAGGAATTTGACAGAATCACAAAGTTTTACAGGCATAGTCGCTTAAATTGACCTGGTAATCTGACCTTGTGACCAAGGTGACCTGGGTTCAAAAATTCACACGCGATGCGAAATTGATATATCATAAGCCATAGGTGCGATCTAGCTGATGCATCGTAAGCCAAATTTCGCGGCGCTTGGCGGTCTTCTGTACACACGAAAAAAAACTGGTAGTTGTAGCCAACCCTCCATCCTACCCAGACGAAGAGTTTCCGTGAATTTTTGTGCATTTTGCCGCTAATCCTTAGCGTTAAAAGATACCTGGCAGAGACTCTGCACGTCCATCGACTCCTCACTCCAGCGCGTACCTACATCATGTGCAGCCGCCTCGAATGATTATTTGATTGTTAGAAAAGTGTTATTTGAGTGTTGGCACATCTTCAAAAGAAAATTAATCAAAATAATACATAAAAATCTACCTGGGTGGTTCGGTGTAAACGTTTTGTGATCTGTCAATGGACCCAGTAACGGTGCCGTGCCTGTCAACCACCGTCTGCCTGCAGAGGCGTACCGGACGGCCTGTGACACCACGGACGATTACCTGCGGCTGACGGACGGACAGCTGGTCGAGTGGATGCGACCCCGCGTCACCAGAAATCTCCAGAATCGCACCATCAGAGTCGGCGTCAAAAAGGTAGAGTGCTGCTCAAAATGTGCGTGACGCTGCATTATCAATCAACCATGCGTCACTCATTGATGAATTAACTCAATCTTTTACTGCAGATGGCCCAGCATAGATAAGGAAGATGGTCATAGATCGGTCCATCATATATCCTGAACTCGAAAGTCGTTTCATCGTACATAAAAACAAGCATACCTACGAGTATGGGTCTGCAGTCTGCTCGCTCTGCATAGTGTATATAGTTAGAGAAGTCAGTGTAAAATAACGCCTCCCGTGTCCCCGTGCAGCTGCCGCCGCCAGTGCCGCCGCGCTACGAACCCGACAGCTGGTCGATCCGCGTGGTCCAGGTACTCGCATCCGTCTTCAACTTCACGCCCGAGTATGTGGGCGCGCCCGTGCCGACCGGAGGAGTCCCTCAGAGCGGCGGCCGCTGGAGTGGACTCACCGGACAGCTGCTAGAGGACGTGAGTTGGACTCGCGCCCGACGGGGTGGGGATGGGGGGGGGGGGGGGGGGGGTGGGGGTAGGGCGGGGGGAGGAACGCATTGAACCCAGATTAAATGTAGCTAATGCAATGAAAAAAGCTAATCAGTTGCATATTTTGAACTTTCAAGTTGTCCCGACATTACGGAGTGATCATTTAACCCGCGCCCCGCTGGGGGGGGGGGGGGCAGAATCTGCCTTCCCTCCCGTTTTTCGCCAATAACTTCTAAACGCGTTACGCCAGCGACGTCAAACTTTCAGTACCTTATCATACATCAATTTGACACGTTACCTGAAAATTTGAGCGAAATCCGTCGGAAAATTTTTGAGAAATTGACGTTTTAGTGACGTCATGTTCGCCATTTTCGCCTCAAAAACGGCAAAATTTCAAACGCCGCTAACATCTTCATTTTTAAAGGAATCAAGACGTAACAAAAAGGTTATACGTGATTCTACTTTGTCTATCAAATGGTTATCTCGGTTTTTTGAAAATTTTGGATTTTGGCCCAAATTTTTTCAAAAAACTGACTTTTTGGAAAAATAATTATAAAATCCAAAATTTTGAGTGTATCGAAAAAACCCGGAATATATCAGAGAAGTGGTCTATGTGCACCTACATACCAATTTTTAGAAGAATCGGTTCAAAAATGTGGGAGTTATTCAAAATTTTGTGACGTCACGACACACAAAATTTTGAAAAATAATTTTTTTGGAAGTTCTAGACATCGTACGGAAACAAAATAGCACCATTCGATTCGCCGTGAAAAACTGCATCAGATAGACACCTTTTCAGGCCTTAACAACCAACTTTAGACCTCACTTGACCTGACCTTGACCTGACCTCGACCTAAAATTCATCCAGAGGTGGTCCATATCACTTATTGAGTGTGCTTATTGAATTTTATGAGTAAAATGACCCATAAAACATGTGTCGCACATGCCCTATTCTATATTTTGTTTTTGGTGACCTGACCTGACCTGACCTGACCTTGACCTTGACCTTTGAATGACATTTTATGCAACGAATATTGTCTTGGTAGTTTAAGAACACGTTTTGGGCAATCAATCTCAGTCCATTCTTCGGCAACTACGGTGCAAGGCCGATACTGTAGAAACTTGCATCTTGTATCCTTGACCTGACCTTGACCTGACCTCTGACCTACTTAAGCAAAAAAAATTGGGCTCTTAAGATCCGCCTTGTTGGAGCTTTCGATTGCCGTTTTCCGCGTCTTTCTACGACCATCGGTTCGGAAGTTAGACAGGGGGGGGCAGAATCTGCCCCCCCCCCCCCCAGCAGGGCGCGTATGGCTGAATAGCCCAGCGGGGCGCGGGTTAAAACTGAAATTAAGTAAGGCGTGATAAGTGTGTTGTGTCAACATTCAGCATAGCGAAGTGTCACGTCATTGGAAAGACAATTGCTGGACATTTGATATAAACAAAAAAAGCCGATCCCTTCTTCCTTCGCTCAGGGCAGGCGCTCAAAATGACCGCTCTGTTTCGGGCAGCGCTGCTCAGCCCGGCGCTGGCGGTATGCCATTCGCCGCAGCTACTTCTCACTGATGTTGCGGGCAAATAAATCCACTACACCCTTCAGTTGTCTCAAGCATTGAAGCCTACGTAGAACTATTTTGCCCTAAACTTGCTGCCAGAAAGTTAATTTGAGATAAGTTCGAACGGAACTATACGCAAAACCAAGAATGTTGCGTATTGGAAATTGTGGACCAATCGTCCAATTTTGTAGTCGAGAAGTGCATCGAAAACCGGAAAACCGGCTCGGAAAAGTGCGCCTTTAACCTGTAAAAATACCTTCTTAGCATCAGCCCAGCTATGAATGACAGTCCCCAGCATCTTGAAGCGCTCTATCGTTCCGTCAACCTCTTCTTCGAACCAGAGAACGGCCAACGGGCAAACACCTCTCATCAATAGTGTCTCCAGGCCTTGTCCTTTGTCCCCGATCTTTCCCGGACAGAAAAAAAGTTCAAAAATGCCTGAATAAACACCTCAGGCCCTTATCCGCGAGGAAGCAAGAATATGATGGATTGATTTGGATGATTGTAATTATTGGATGAGTGTATTAGATGTGTCTATGTAACATTTCGGCATGTACTTACCTAAATGTGTATGTTTATATAAATATTAACTTGCGAACCGTTTGCTGGCCCAGGAAGTGGAGATGACAGGAAGCTTCCTGGTATCCAGCATGGAACGTCTAAACCTCGTCTCATTTGGTGAAACAATCGGCTACTCTCAGATCGGCCTGCTGATAGAAAAGCCAAAAGCGGAGACTCGAGACGACTCCCTCTTGGCTCCATTCAGCAGTCACGTAAGGAATACGTTTCGTGAGCTTGGGTGCATTTGATGTGGTTCATGAAGGAAACTATAAACTTTTAGTGCTGAGTTGGGTATCTATTCGAAGTTACGCAAAATTTTAAACGTCTCGGTTTGTCGATGAGTTTGAAAAAGACGATGCCTTTTAGAGCTTGGAATGACATTGATTTTTTCTTTGTCTCAGCCAAATAAATCGCTTCTTATGTCATAATGAGCAGTGAACTTGTCCTTCGTGATCTGATCCGAAAGTGTTTCCCCACATTCCGGCATTCATCTAGTGACAGCACATCAATATAATTGAAAATGTGTAATCGTTTGTTACACTTTACCTCAGCGATCAATCTCAGAGCGCCGATCACTCGGTCAGCACGCGCGCGCCTATCCGACAGGTGTGGCTGCTGATTCTGATCTCGATGATCGTGATGGGCCCGCTGATCTGGGGCATTATCCGGTTCCGGGTGTGGCTGTCCACCGGCGACGCGCACCTGAACCGGGTCATCCCGCTCGGCTCGTGCGTCTGGTTCGTCTACGGCGCGCTGATGAAACAGGGCTCTGTGTTGTCGCCCGTCACAGGTGAGCCAGCACGCCGGCACGCTCCGGGTTGGGATGTGTTCTGTTCGCAGTAGTCTATCATCATCTAGGACCACTCTTGAAGGTCATATTCCGAGGTTGCGTACGTGTACTTTGAATCTAAACCTTTTCCGTATAGAAACGAGGAGGGTTCGTTCTAACGCCGTTCTTTCGGCAGACTCGTCGCGAATGCTGTTTGCCTTTGTAACGCCGTTCTTTCGGCAGACTCGTCGCGAATGTTGTTTGCCGTTTGTAACGCCGTTCTTTCGGCAGACTCGTCGCGAATGTTGTTTGCCACCTGGTGGATATTCATCACGGTTCTGACGGCCTTCTACACGGCCAACCTGACCGCCTACATGACGCTGTCGGCGCTCAAGGTGCCCGTCCAGAGCATTGACGACATCAGCGGCAACCAAAAGTCCTGGCTGGCACCGGCAGGTCAGCAGATCGACACTGCCAACGCGCCCGCTTACCGTTCCGTCCGCTTTGCAAGGGCAGCTAACCGACCGTTTACGGTAGAGCTTAATCCGTGATTAGATGTCAAACGCGCAACTTATTGCAGCTAGTTACAGGTAGCTCAGTTCACACTCTCGCTCTCATCCAAAGCATTTGAATGATTTAAGCCACCGTGCTTCTTTCAAACAGGTGACAGCATCCAGATGTATGTGAACAATTCGGCGACACTTCGCCGACTCCAGAGTGCTGGTAGGGGCTCCTACATCCGACATGATGAGCCCATCGCCAGAACCATCAGCAAAGTTCGCTCCGGTGAGTGACTTAAATCTAATGGGGAGCTGAATTTAACGTATAACAAACAATGCAAGTCACCTGTAAACTTGTTGGTAGTCGCCTTTGTATCAAAGAAGTTGAATGTAAAGCAGTGGCGCAGCCAGGGGGGGGTCAGAGGGTCAGCTGACCCCCCCGAAATTTCTGTCAGGGGCCCGCTCGAGAGAGAGAGAGAGAGAGAGAGAGAGAGAGAGAGAGAGAGAGAGAGAGAGAGAGAGAGAGAGAGAGAGAGAGAGAGAGAGAGAGAGAGGAGAGAGAGGTCTTAATCTAACCGGACGAGAGAACTGGCCCCGGCCCCTGGGAGAATGGGCCCGGGCCCCCTGAGTGGATGGGGCCCGGGCCTCCCCGTGGATGGGTCCGGGCCCCGGGAGAACAGGCCCCGGGCTCCGGGTGGACGGGGCCCGGACCCCCGGTTGGATGGGGCCCGGGCCCCCGGGAGAACGGGTCCGGGCCCCGGGAGAACGGGCCCGGGCCCCCCGTGGATGGGTTCGGGGCCCCAGGAGAACGGGCCCCGAGTGGACGGGGCCCGTTGGATGGGGCCCGGGCCCCCGGGAGAACTGGCTCGGGCCCCTGGGAGAACGGGCCCGGACCCCCTGGGTGGATGGGTCCGGGTCCCCGGGAGAACGGGCCCGGGCCTCCCGGAGAACGGGCCCAGGCCCCCGGGAGAACTGGCCTGGGCCCTCGGGAGAACGGGCCCGGGCCCTCGGGAGAACGGGCCCGGGCCCTCGGGAGAACGGGCCCGGGCCCTCGGGAGAACGGACCCGGGCCCCCGGGAGAACGGACCAGGGCCCCCGGGAGAACGGGCCCCGGGCCCCCCGTGGATGGGTCCGGGCCCCGGGAGAACGGGCCCCGGGTGGACGGGGCCCGGACCCCCGGTTGGATGGGGCTCGGGCCCCCGGGAGAACTGGCTCGGGCCCCTGGGAGAACGGGCCCGGACCTCCTGGGTGGATGGGGCCCGGGCCTCCGTGGATGGGTCCGGGTCCCCGGAAGAACGGGCCCGGGCCTCCCGGAGAACGGGCCCGGGCCCCCGGGAGAACTGGCCCGGGCCCTCGGGAGAACGGGCCCGGGCCCCGGGAGAACGGGCCCGGGCCCCGGGAGAACGGGCCCCGGGTGGACGGGGCCCGGAGCCCCAGGTGGACGTGGCCCGGGCCCCCGTGTGGATAGGGCCCGCGCCCCCGTGTGTATATGGCCCGGGTCCCCGGTTGAATGGGGCCTGCTAGGGTGACCCGCTTGCTCCGCAACGCGAATAAGGGGTATTTTCGATCGGTGGGCGTTTGGTTGGTCTTGTGTTCGTGGGTTATGTATCCATTTCGGTCGATTGCTTTTTGACGGCTAAGCATTTTGGTTTAGGAAAAAATATCCATTGCATCGAGGTACTGGTGTCTGATAGGCAAGCGTTCTACTATATACGTGCTATATACCATGTCATGTGTAGTTTATAACAAACGTTGACGTAGGTTATTGAAAAATGAAAGCCATCGATGAGTTACTATGTAGAGGTTTGAAACATTTATATTTTTAAGAATGCTGCTGCTCGTCATGCAAAAGCGATGGTTGGATTTTGGACAAAATTGAATGTTCTTTCCAACTATGCCATTTTCAACGCTCAAACGTACCAGTTTATGCAGTAAAACCTGTGTAATTAAGTAAGTCATTAACAAATACCATTTTCTCCAGCGGTTTGTTCCACCTTCTTTTTGATCAATTAGCTTTTCACAATTTTTCCATGCGAGGCTGTGCATTTCTTTTGCCAACAGGCGTTGTTAGAACCCGCTCCGTCAAACGGTCACCCGAAAATAGCATTAAGTCCCAAATCTGTCCGAAACGTCAATTTTCCAGCATAAGTGCCCTCACGGGTGCACGATGCGCGTGCCATCCCTGCACCGCACACCATTCGATAGCCCGTTCGATTCCCTACACGATACTGTGTTCCCCGTGCCGATCGGGCCCACGGTTACCGAGCCATACTGCACGGGACCGGACCAGTGTCGGGCAAATTCAGCCATTTTCGCACGATTTTGCAAGCCGATTTATGCATGTATTGTAAAGCCTATGACGCGAATTTCCACTTTTTAAGCACGCGCCATGTGCTCGCTATCGATCCGATCGAGCTGAGACCCTCAAAGGCACGTTGCCCATCCTTGATCTATAAATCGCGCAAATTTCAGCGCACTAGGTGCAACGGTCTGGCCTGTACCCCGCGCTAAGTAACACCATGCCGGGACCTCGATAGCAGACATCAATCTACGTCACCACATCACCACACCACAACAAACCCGGCCCAAGGCAATACATGTCCCATATGAGCGCGTTAACCCTCGCCGGCACAGGCCATTCCTGAGTCATTTTGCGTCCTTCGACGGCACAAGGGGAGGGTGGTACGAGCCCCCCCCCCGCGTTTGGCCCATGATCGAGCTAGAGCTTCGCGAAAAAAAACGAGCGTGTTGCCCGTGACGAGAGTAAGCCGATGATACTCAATTTTAAGGTTATTGGTCATTGGTTGACCTTCCAGGCCAGGTCAATGACCCAAAAATCGGGAAAATCGGGACCTGTTAGAACGTCGTAAAGTGTGGCTGCTATAGGGGTTTTCAGGGTGCTGATCACGAATAGTTATCATGTTAGTTTTGATCACAGATGATGTCTTTATGCATTTAGGTCAGGTCGGGTCAGGTCAGGTCAGGTCAACCAGTAGGCGTCGTGACGCGTATTCGTAATACGTGTCAACCACCTCTGACAGCTTCGTAACATGTTACGAAGTCATCAAAACTACTTCGCAAATGTTCAAATGGTTGCTAAATTCGGATTCAGCTCCAAAAAGTAGCCTAGAAACATGTATAATTCGAAATATTACCGAGGTCATCATAGGTCAATGACCTGACCTGACCTTCAGGTGACCTTGACACCCACCCTAATGCATGGGAGCAGCATCAACTCACATGTTTGAACGCTTGAAATCACGAAAAGATTGCAAACGCGCGGCTAATGCGAGCCGGCATACGCCGAATCGCGATTCTGGCCAAACATGTCTCGGAAAGTAGGTCACAGGTCAAAGGTCATTTGAGTCAGGGTCATGCAATTTCTAGGGTAGGTGTAAAACTGATAAACGCGAGGGTACTCAATGTGTTGTCGCGATCGGCCGCTTTTTACGCGAGTTATTCGCGAAAAACTTCTTGTGAGCGAATTCACGTAATGAAGAAGGATAAAGGCACAATCTTCTACAGCAGCCAATAGATGACTTAGGTCTTAGGACAGGCACACGGAACTTCTTAAATCTTGTCCGATCGATAGAAGCAGGCAACAGCTCCGTTTGCATATATGCTATGCATATTGCGGAAGGGGCACATTTCGGCCTCGAAAGATACGAATTCATACCTCATAGCCACATATTTCTGTCATGGTCAATTTGCGTAGAAATTGAACACCGGGTGATTACCGAGCTATTGTTTTATCAAAATTTTCCGATTCAAACTCGCTCAGGGTTGTCGTGTAGGTAAAGGGGGCCCGCTCAGCAGAATGCGTATGAAATATGGAAAGATTCTGAAAAAAATGGGTGGGGGCCCGCACACTAGGGGGCCCGCTTTGGAGGCGATGACCCCCCCGAAACGAAATCCTGGCTGCGCCACTGATGTAAAGTAAAACGCTTGTTTGGTTATGTAGCTTGCAATTTAGATCACCATTTAGGGGAGAGTGGGGTAAGATGCCCAGAGTGGGAAAGATATCCCACCCCCTCTAACGGCGGAGCAAAGAATCAAACCTGGAAATTAATGTTCTTAGCGTAAAGCGGAAGCCTTCCATATTACTGCACACACAAAAAAAATGCCTAGCTCAATTGGGCAACGGTGGGCTGGTGGTTGCAAGTTTTATATTTACTGCTTTCAAAACAAATTTGGTGTCAAAACATTGTGAATATCAAAGCCAAGGTAAATATTTTTATGTCCGTTGCTATTGCCGTGAGAGATTCAAAAGCCTGTACTGTGTCCCAACCAGTTTGTTTCAGGGTGTAGTCTTCGTGCTAACAAATTGTACTGATTAAATGGTAATTCGGTACCTTGCAGGGAAAGATACCCTCTGACCTGATGGGGAAAGACGCCCCGCTAAATCCGTGGGCTGCCCTTCAAAGAACCCGTCGAATCATTTAGTACAAAGTTGTGATGAGAGACAAAAGCCGATTTAGGACTACTGAGAGACCAATACGATCAGGTGCTCCGCCTCCCCATACCGGTATCTCGGCCCCTACACCGACTTTTTGGGCGACATCTGACTCTGATAGCCTTCACGGCGATCTCTGTGGGCCCCATAATTGGCCCTGAGGCCCCTCACAACATCCTTTGATTATGGGCTTCTACGGGCCGCGCTGGCATCTGAAGTGAAGGCAATGAAGTACCCACAACGGTCTCCGAACGCCACCACGGAGGCTTGTTTGGCCGCGCTGGACTATGCTAGCCCTCACGATGACCTCTGAAGCTCCTCACGGCGATTTTTGAGGGCCCTTACGATGGCATTTAAGTGTCTACCGCAGGTTCGAAGGGAACTGATTCGTTGCAGGCAATTCACGTGCCCGTTTATGTCACTTTTAGTGCGGAAGGGCATCTTACCCAACGCCAGTGGCATCTTTCCCACCCTCTGGGGTAAGATGCCCCCTTGTACTTCTTCAGGAAAATGATAAATAACAAAAAATTATCATATTTGAAGCACAAAAGTAAGATACTTTGTGGAAAAAAATGATGACAGCTTCCGTTGAAACACCATTATCTTGCTTTCCGATCGGCATTTTCGAGTAATCCATGACATTCCTAACCCCTGGGCATCTTCCCCATCCTCCTTCAACCTCATGAAGGTTACCACGCTGGCGATTTATGGCCTAGATAATTTTTGAAAGTATTATAAAATGTGTGTAAATTTAAATGAGACCTATACGAGTAAACATACATGTAAATAGGTATGTATAGTAGATATGGACCTACATAACCTAGTTGCATACATATTCTTGTATTGTCATCCCTACACCACACACTGTTACTCGTATAAGCATGCGTTATACCTGCAAAGCTTTATTCGTCTTACACTTTACAGGTTACGTTTACATTGACGAGGTGTCCAAGCTGAATGCGATGATGATGGCCGACTACTACGCCAGCAATCACACGTGCCACGTGTACGTGGTGCCGCTCAAAGACCAGTACATCAAGTACTCGCTGGCCGCTCCCAAAGACTCGCAGCTGCACCACATCTTCGACCCATTGTAAGTAGTCGTGACGTCTGGCAATATGTGGGCAAAACCCGCTGCAGAGCTGGCTCTTCCAGAGTTTCAGCGTTGTGACTCATAGTCCGTTTAATGGGCCGGTCGGCGGATGTCTTAACTAGTCGTCAATTGCAATCTGCTGCAGTTTCCCTGAACTGTTGTCAAAATCACTCTCTATCCTGGAATATTTCTTACGAAACAACTTAAAGACGCTTCTTTATCGCTTAAAGATAATATCGCATTTAACTGTAAAAATATGACAGCTTACTTATTACGATTTATTAGCTGCAGTAGAATCATCGACGTATGGTAGTTTCAATAACGTTACAAAAACGTTTGTCATGCTACCAAGCCATGGCTCAAATTTCCCTGCATTCACTATGAACATAAATATGTTTGCATACACTTTCGCTGTTATTTGAGCCCTACAACTCTAATAGCAATATATAAAATAATTAATACATAAATATTATATTAATTGATATTAATATATAAATAATATCAACCCCGGCTTTTTGTTGATGTTTAGTTGAAGCGTATCACTCCGTGTTGCAGCGTCCACTGGCTGGTGATGTCCGGCATTGCCAGCAAGTGGAAGCGAGACGCCGAGGTGGACGCCGAGCCCTGCGCCATTCCCAAGGGCATCCAGGGCACGCAGCTGAAGAACGAGGAGCTGCGCATGATCTACTACATCCTGCTCGTCTCGTACGGCTGCGGCGTGGCGCTGCTGCTGTTGGAGGTCGGCCTGGGCCGGCTGCTGGACCGGTGTGCCGGCGGAGGGGGCGCCCGGCCCGCCCGCCAGTCCCTCTCCGTGCTGCAGCGCGTGCTCGGCCAGGAGGCCGGCGCCGCCGCCGGCAAGACCGCCTGGCCGGCCGCCAGCGGCGACCAGTCCAAGCCGACCACCACCTACGCCTACGGCATGTCCGTGAACCCGGCGGCCGTTTCCACGTGGTCTGCGGTGACGACGTCGCTGACGACGCCGCCGGCCGGGCCGGCCTCGTCCGCGGCGCCGGCCGGCTCCGGCTCGGGCGCGCCGCGCTCCGACCGCGAGGTGCTGCAGGAGATGCGCAACAACATCAAGTACATCAACAACCGGCCGTACATGTTCGTCAGGGATGGCGCCGGCGGCGTGCGGCCCGTGCCCGTCACCGAGGAGCGCAGCGAGGTGTTCGAGCGCGTCTTCAAGGACCTCAAGGAGCGGCCGAACAGCTCCAGAGTTGACGACCACTTCGGCGACCTCTATTCTCCCGAACACCTCATGCGGCAGTAGGCTAGCACGCGCAAAGAGCTGCTCACCACTCACAGGTCTACCCTGGCCACTAGAGAGAACGCACTAGACAAATGAGGGTGGTGGACCGTGGACATTTGGAGGACTCTTTATAAGATATTTTTCTCTTTCTCGTGGATAAATCGTCTGGTCATGGCGTTAAAGCGTTTGGGACATTTTACAAATTGACGGATGAAATCATGTGATAGAAAATAAGTAGGTATCTAAATGTACCGGAAAACATCGACGTAATTTCGAAATCTTCGTACCTTTATTTTCAAGGCTTTTATGGGCTGAACTGAGATAAAAATATCTAAATGAGATATTCCGGTCTTTCCATTAGCCTTGGTCGACCAGAAAAAAAATGGGCCGATCAATAAAGCTGATGTGCTTGGTTTTCAACAGTACACTTTAACTCATAGAATAGAATATTTTCAAAAGAGCCCGCTGTTACTTTGGAACTGGCAATGTGACGAATGTGCCCGGGTCCCAATAGTGATCCAAGGGCACGAGGTCTAACACAGTAGCTAATCTACCTTATAATGATACCTATCGATAAACGAGACTCGATCGATGGCATCATTCGATATGCAAGGATCAATTATGTAAAAACCTGCCGATGCCTATGAAAGCCTTTAACCCGCCTTGTAAAAATACGTTGCATATCTATTATCTAGATATAGATTTATCAACTTATAATCAGTTTCATCCCAATTAACGGCGTATCAATGAAACTAAAACTGCGATGAGATGTTTCCATTTCCCAACCATGCAAGATGTGCTTGGAATCGTGTAGGTACCTAAACATGCTACGTTGAAAAAAATCAAATATGTATAGGTAGGTATTGTGTAACACCAATGATGAGTGTTTTCTTGTTGGATCAAAGTTGTCCCTATGGGCATTGGGCATCCCACCAATTTATCACCCAATGATCAGGGCCTCCTCTAACATGTTAACTGGGGGGGGGCGCGGCCCCCGCAGTGATGCCACTGCACCCCCACACACTCCACCCCCCCCCCCCCCCCCCCAGTGGAGCTGAAATCGCGTCACGGGGGGGAGACACGCAGTTAAGCCAATGATATAGAAAAATGATGAACTTCCACTTCAAGCTAACCAAACAAACAAAATCCACAATTTCTTAACGATCACCCAACTTATTGGACTAATTTTAGTTTTCTTATACCGTTGGGTTGGGCTCTTTCAGTCTACTGAGAACATTTCAGATCCCCCAAAGACGAGCGGATAGAGGACAGACATTGAACTTATAATTGAACACAGACTGACGCCCCAAAGGGACAAAGTCCATCCCTTGAGAAGGAAACGTCCCGTTGGGTCGTCCTCTCAATCAAGCAAACGTTCAACACGGAGGAGTGTGAATATTCTTTCGGGTAAGCGTGCGTATTCTTTAAGAGGAAACTGCTTTTCGCTCAAATAAGAATATCGCAGAGTTATAGGATGAGAGAAGCTGTTTGCTTCCATATAGGTACGACCTTGGTTTCCAGTGTTTGGGAGAGATTAACCCTCGCACTTATTGGAGGTCGGATAGACCCACTCCCCTTGTTTTTTTTCGCAAATTAACTCGCGTAAATAGTGACCCATCGCGGCGAAACTTGTAGATGTTCGAAGTAATCAATTGGCTACACAGTTCCTGAAAATTTCATTTCATGGCTCTGACCCTCGTGACTCGTTAGTCGTTATTTGGAGTATTTGCCCCAAACGTACAGCGGGGTCGGATCGCTTACCAGTTTTCTATTTTTTTTCTTCTAGGTTTTCAACAAAAAATCGTATCAGGGTTGTGACGAAACACAAGTGGCTGTAAATCCGATGAGAAAACAGGATTTGGGGGTACCCCAGGTTTGGCTCCTGGAACCTCTGCGCCCCCCCCCCCCCCCCAAGTGAAAATTCCTTAGAGGAGGCCCTGCCAATGATCAACATCACTACTGTAGTAAATTAAGCGAACAGCCTACCTGTTTATGTGTTCAGTAACATGTTAACACATCAATCATATTTTTAGGACGTTGGTTCTGATGTACTTTAGAGCTGTGTGTAGGTATGTGACTGCACTGTAGCCAAGCCACTATAAGACGGAGTTTAAAGTATTTTTATAACCGCCGCAAAAATCACAGAGGACAAAAACCCACTGGTGCATAAGTTTATCTGCATGTAAAGATATCTAAAGTAGCATATTTGAGCGTGATAACTTAAGGATGGTGAATGTACCTATGTATAGGTACAAAGGTTTGATACCTATCACACATAGGTACACTGACATTCTGGTGCATAGATGGAATAAACATTGCAAAACACACGCATCGTAGTTTTAAGAGTGAACGTGATTAAATTTGCGCTTTTGGGTAGATAGGGTAGGTACTAGGTAGGTACCTACTTGTGCTATTTAAACGGAATTACTTGAACATTACTGAAAAGTTATGTCCTCTGCCTTAGATTAAAACCCTGGAGAATAATGTACAATCGTTGTACATAGGTACGCTATGTCTAACGTGACTAGTGCCGCTTTCACCTGTTCTTGGACAAAATAAGATGACTTATCAATAGCAAAACTCTTGCAACAATTCAATACCTACATCATTGCACTCAGCACTGTTTTTTACTGTCGAAATTGACAGCACTTTTACATATAAATGCGTGCGGTGCAGCTAAGCTAGGTGCAAAAAGGTGTATGAAGATACTATGCAAGGGACACCCTGCTTGTGCCGACCAGATGATTCATACCATTCCGAAACCCGATAGCACCAACACGATAAGGTATCAAAGGAAAGGAAGGCTACCTATAGATAGATGATTTGCGCAGCGTTGTTTGTGAACTCTTACTGAGACCTGCTGTAGTGTCAGCAATGCTCAAAATCAAACGTGTCTTTTTTCTATTTTGCATGACATCCGAGAACCTCCAGGTGGATTCCCGTCTCCGGGCAAGTTTATTTGGCCGGGAAGCCGGATGAGCCGTGCGATCACACGTCCGTCCGGGCGGTCCCGAGCCGTGCAATGCAACGTGACCGAGTGACTCATCGACATAGTTCTTATCACGCTCGTCAGGTGGCGCGCTATGATGCTAGTGAACACCGGGCCGGGGGCCGCGCATGGCTCACAGTCGGGGGCACAGTTGAGGGGAGCGTCCGCCCAGCTCTCTGACGGACGGGGCCGCTGGTGGATAGTTATCACGCATTCACGGGGTCCAGTAAACGATCACGGCAGTGCAATAACAGTGTAAGCCAAGTCTGATACGGAGGTGAGTGTAATGTGAGCGGCATTGTGAGGAGCCGATTTGGTTACGACCACGAGTGCCGACAGCGTCAGCGGCATCCATGGACGTGTGAACGCATTGCCACTTTTGAGATTTGTATGTTTGTCATTCAGTTAGAAGAAGAATCTCAAAGGCAGTTCCTTCCCGCCTTAGCAGCTGAAGTCAAATTCTCGAATTTCGACAGCGCGCTGGCGAAATTCGAGACTCGAAATAACAAGTATCGACTATCAGAGCGGTGCACCGTTCTGATAGTCGAGACTTGATAATGCGGCAGTTATGTGCGGTGTCTTACGTGTAGCACGAAATAAATATCGCTCCTCTCCTCTTCTCACTCCGTGCTAGGCTAGTATGTTCTTTTCTGACCGATAACAGCTCGAAGTCTGTGAGTAGTCCCTCGGAAATCATAACTTAACCCTCGCGGGCGGAGGGGGGGCGTTTTTTTGCCCCCTCCCCCTGGCGAATATTTGCAATAGGTCAGAAACGCCTGCTGGGGATGGAAACACGTTTTAGAGTTTTAGAGATAATGACAAATTACGAGCACGATTGTGTAGAGTTTGACCTAGCAAAAAATACTAAAATAATTTTGGTGACCTGAGGTCAGAGGTCATGTTAACGACCCCGAGCTGGGGTTTAGTTTTTCGCAAATATCTTCAAAAAAGATGGTCCTAGAGCTACGGCAGTAGTAACTAGTACCATCGCATTAGTCTCGTCAAGACGCGTCAAATGACATATATTTTGTTTGGAAAAGTTTAAGTTTTATGTTGACCCCATGTAACCTCGAATGACCTTTGGTTGACCTTGATACACGAAAGGTCGTTAATGATGGATTCGTAGTCGCAGAAAACGAATTTGGCATCCATTTTGCTCTAAGCATTCATTTAGAGCCTCAGGATGACAAAAATATAGATATAAATTATTATATAGCTGACTAATTGAATCAGTGAAATAGATAGGTACTCTCCCGTGACCTTGGCCTTGTAGCAGCCTTGTATCGTAAGATGACGCACAAATAGGGACCCGATAATATCGAATGTCGAGAGCGCTTTTCCACGGCGCTATAGCTTTATTGGCTCCAGAGTTAAGCGCCAATTTCTCGAAAACTGTTGAACTATGCAAAATTCAACCTTTGATGACCTCTGGTGACTTAACTTTTGACCTGACATAAAAATGACTGAAGTATTTTGTTTTTATGTTTTAACCTCTTCGAATGCCACTTATCGCGTGTCGCTACGTGACCCAAGCCGAGTAAGACGGGGCAAAACGCCCCCCCCCCCCCCCCAGCACGACACGGAAAACCCAGACCAGCAGCACAGTGCGCCGTGCGGGTTAACCCGCGCCGGGCCGGGGGGTGTTTGAACACACACACCCTGCTGTTTTTGGCACACCTGTTCGTGCATCTTTTCCGCACATGTGAAAATTTCAGATTCAGGTCGCCTTAGGTCAGGTCACCAGGTCACGCCAAGTGACCTCACCTCAGAAAAAATAAGAATGCTCGTCATAGCTACACCGATTGGTCGATCGCCTTGAAACCTTCAGCGATTGATTAGAGCAACATTATCTATAAAACGTATGTCTCGGAATTTTGATATCTGTGACCTAAGGTCAGGTCAATTTTGCGGCCTCTCCATTATAAGTCGATGGGAGAAAATTGAAAAGCGTCTGTTTTGCACGAACGCTATTCTAGACACTCTCAAACATCGAGATGTAGGTCAGATTGACATACTGAACCAGAAAATGGCAACTGTGACCCCTCGTTATGCCCCCGAGGTCATCTCAGGTCACGAACCGAATCTAACAGTTTTTCGCTAATAACTTCTGATATAGGCGTGCTAGAGCGCTGAAAACACCTTAGATGTGTTCGGCTCGACGTTGCGGATCAACTGATATGCAGTATGACCTTTTCCAGTCAGGTCATGACCTTGACCTGAGGTCAAATTTTCAAGTTGACCTTTCAAGGTCAAATTATAGTTCATTCGACGCGTCTCGACGAGTGGAACACGATGCTGGCAAAAGTAATGTCATGGCTGATTTGAGTCAAAAGTTATTGCCGAAAAAAACGTTTTCGTAAAAACGGCTATTTTTGGAGTTTTTGCCCCCTGGAGGCTAAACCGTTGACCTGAGGTCAAATCTGAGAAAATTATTCAGAAAGGTCTGTAAAAGGGCTATCGAATGCGCTTTTCCGCGGCGCTGTAGCTCTATCGGTTCCCGAGATAGCCGTTGGTAGTTTCCAAAATGTTGAAATAGTCAACATTTTACCCTTGGTGACCTCTGGTGACCTGACCTTTGACCTGACCCAAAAAATGACCGAGTGTTTTCGTCCTTATTTTGGACGTTCTTTCGATTGCCGCTTACCGCGTGTCGCTACGTGGCCCAGGAGCCGAGTTAGAAGGGGGTGTTCAGACACCCCCCCCCCCCGGCCCGGCGCGGAATCTCAGAGCACCGGCCCGGCGCGGGTTAAATGGGTTCCCAATTTTGCCTCAGTGGATGCCTCATGCAGCTTGCGCATTTATTGCAATACAAATGGAAGGTTGAAGTTAATAATGTGTAGCCCTCTCATCCTGCAGCAACATTGTTTTTCCATGGAATGTCATCAAACAACTGAGCAAACTGTTCTTATTGTAAATTTGTAGGGTAACTGTGGGGAAAACGCACCCCTGGGTTAAACGCCTCCCCTAAAAAATCGTATTTCTTATCGACGGATAGGTGTTTTATCCTGTCTTTTAGAACAGTCAGCTGCTTGTTTACGTAGGTCTCTATTTCCGGTTCTGCGTCTTGAGGAGCACCGTGGGTAGGTGCTGATGTTGGTTTTGTTTTGTTGTTTTTACAGAAGATTCCTAATATTTTGATGCCCTCTTTATATCACAAAACTTACTATTGTGCACATCACTCAAAACTGCGTTTTATTGTCATTCTGTTGAATGTATTATGCTGCGGCGTTAGTGGCGCGTTTTTTTTTTTTTGTCAATATTTTGTTGACCGGAAATGGAGTGGATGGGGCAAGACGCCTACTCGATGCATGGGGCAAGACGCCCCCAGTTTTCTGACAGGGGGGCGTTTTGCACGGTGGTGAGAGTGCAGCCCTGTAGGTCGGGGCCGAAAAGGCCTCTCCCTGTCCTTTTTTGCTGATATATCCTAAACGACTGCAGATATCGTCACCAAACTTTCAGGACTCCTCCGGGCATCCATTCTACACATTGCAACAAAATTTTATTCCAAAGGCTTTGATAGGTTGACCCCAAATGACGTCAGAATGACGTCAAGTTCTGCCATGTTCATCATTTTCTGTTGATGGATGGGGTGGGGGCGCTTTGCACATGGGTGTGGGCGTATTATCCAGGGTATGGGGCAAAACGCCCTTTGTAAGGGTATG